AAATTTGTTTCCTGTAGACCTAATGGGTCAAGAAATGTGCCAATGACATCAGGCTAAACTGTACCAATTATACCTATGAGATTAAGAATGCCATTCTGATGTCTTCTACTGTTATGAGGAAAGCTGTGTTTAAAGGAGAGCTGCCTCAGTTCTGTCCACCTTTCCAATTTTGTGGTTCATTGAGGTCCTCGGGACTACGATAGAAAAGAAAGGATTTGGAAAACTGATGCGAGGGACACCATGACCCTGGAGATAACAATTGTTTCTGACCTGGACAGCTTGATGGGATTCGGCCAAGTTGGAGCATTGAAAGAAAAAGAGGACCATAATTTGTCTTGGGCCATAGCTATCTTATAACACACCTTTGCCTTGATTAGTTAATATATATTAAAGAGTGGTATGAACAACTGGATGTAGGAGTATCTGGATAGGTGATCAGCTGATTTCTATTTAGTTTGTTTGTGGTTGTATTAGTAACATTTAGTCCAACATGAAGAGAGTCGTCACAGATTGGTAGACAGCATTTGAAGGATATTTTTAATTAGTTGAGACACCAGGAATCACCACTCATCAGGAAAGCAATATTCTTGACATTCTGACTGCTGACACCCGCCAATATCTCTGAAAGTAGAATCAGATTCAGGTTCAGTAATTTGGTGTTGCTGAGACCTGGTATGTTTGTTTTGCATTGAGTGTTGAGGCAGTTTTTTGGTTCTTGCTGAGGAGTGGTGATCTCCCTTTGCCTTTTTGTCAATGGTTGCTGAACCTTATTCTTTGATGGAGACTTTGGCTCATTCTATAGAGGCTTAAGACTGTTTTTCAGTTTTATTGACTGCAGTCCACAGCTGCTCTCCATTGGTGTGGAGGAGTGAGAGTGGCTGTCGCTCTGCAGCGTTCTGTCTCTGTTAACTTGTGTTTTTGGAGAGATATAGAAGGAGGTAAGCCATATGTTTCTATTTTTGCTTCTACCTCGACCAACATGAAACCAAAGCTCCTGTTTTGATGCATCAAAAGTAGAACCTGATATAGTCTCTAGTCTTGCTCCTCATGCAAGCCACGGTCTCATGTCTGGGTCAGTTGTGGTGTTCATTTTCAGTAGATCTTGATTAGTGTGCTGCCCAGATTTTGAAATGCGTCATCAAAATCTCTTGATGTTAAATCCGTCCGCTCGCACACATTTCCACACCATCCACGGTACATGACACTGTGAACATGAAGACAATAGGCATCATGCACAAATAGTTTTGTATTCTTATGCTAAATCTCTATTACTTTTTCCCGCCCGAGGCTTAGTTATACGAGTTCCCAGTTTTAAGTGATGAATACTGCCTGTTTATGAGTAGGTGAGTGTTCATTATTAGATCATTAGCACAATCATGGAGCTTTAAGTCCTGCTGTCAGACATAAGAAAATTAAAAAACAACAAATTTTGCAGTGTCATTAATGACATTTATTCATTTAGCTGACGCTTTTATCCAAAGTGACTTACAATTGCTATATATGTCAGAGGTCGCACGCCTCTGGAGCAACTAGGGGTTAAGTGTCTTGCCCAGGGACACATTTGTATTAGTATTTGTATTAATACACAATTGTATTAGTGAATATTACTATAACCATCATTACTGTGTAGTTTTTATTTAATTTTGTTTGTTTAACATGACTTCAGCAACATGTTTAAAAAAAAATCTAATTCAAAATTAATTCAGATAAAGGCATTACATTTTCTAACATGTTTTTTTCATCCCGTGGAGAAAGGCAGACTATCTGTACATGACTCGTATGACAGGCCTGGACCGCTTGGGAATTTTGTCTGTGCTTAAGAGAAAATATGAATTATGTGAAAATTGCTGAATGCTACACTTGTAGGTGTCAGGACAAATCTGTTTATACAAGTTATTCTTGCGTGATCCACTGATCAACCTGTATCTCATGTGAAATGGAGATCCTGTTTTCAAGTTCCACAATGGTCTTTAACCACAATTTGGGTCATCTTGACACAATGCACTCGTGAAGGGAGAAGAGAGGAATGTTATATTCAGCAAAAATCCTGATTAACACGACCAAGAATGGGCAGTTTTCCTTAAATTTGCAGTAAATGAGTGTTTTAGTTTTTTTTCCAAATGAGTTTATAATACTCAAGGTGTTGGTGTAAATATCTGACATTCATCTAAAATATTCCAAAAGGATAGCAAATTGGACACCCCTTTTTTAACTTGCTGTTACAATACAATCTCTATTGCAGTGCAGTAGCTATTGTGTAAAAGGAGAAGCATAAAGCAGAAGTTCTAAAGAAGAACGCTTTACTGCAGCCAACGTTCATATTCAGACTGGAAATAAAGTTTACATCTATAGTTTGTGATTTTGTGTGTTTAAGCTATGTGAAAACTATTCAAAAGTCCTACTGTATAAAATGTATTTTCTGGGCTTGAGAGTATTTTCCAAACAGCTGTCTGTTTCCTGTTTTTGAGAACAAGGTAACAAGGGGTTTCAGCAGTAAAGGCTTTTGGATTGAAGTGACAAATGACAGAAGGTTAAAGATTGAGTGGATTTCCCACCTGCTTCTGAGCTATTTTTCAGCTCAGAGCATTTCAGAGCACTTACACCACACAAAACTGTTGTGTGTTTTGACAGAAATAAAGTGTCTTTTAAAAATGACACACACAAAAAGAAATCTGTGCAATGCTGATGGGATTTTAAAAAAAGTATAGAGTTAATCCAGTCTTTGTTTCTTTGACATGTTTTATGGGCTGTGGTAAAATTCTAGTAAAATTTCCTCATATACTCTGTTGACAGGGTCAACTGTATTTCCTATCCTGTCTAGTTCACTTCCTACTGCTGTGTATGATTACTTACTCATTACAATGAGGCCACTCATTCCCCATGACACTTTGTTACAATGTAAGGTAGTGAGTGTGCAGCTTGTATAACAGTGTAAATTAGATGTCCCCTCAAAATAACACATCACACAGGCATTAATGTCTAAACTGCTGGCAACAAAAGTGAGCCATTTACCCTCCACTGTGTCATGTGACTCGTTACTGTCAAGGTCTACAAGGTCTAAGGCAGGGATATCAAACTCAAGGGCCACATAAGCATTACGGTTACCCTCAAAGGGCCAGTTGCAACTGTAAGACTGTATAAACATAACTACTCCTTAACATATTGTTAAATAACTGTTTCTTTATTTGATTATGTATTCAAGTTAAGGACATTTATCAGATGTAAAAATATAGCCTTAGTAAGAAAATGTCTCTGTGTTATTATAACATAAATAAATGAATTTATCAGATTTAAAACCCCTCATTACTCCATCAATCAAAGATCAAACATTTCAAGTAAATAACAAAGACAAATATCATCAAACATAAGCTTTTACAGTAACTTTTCACTTTTTTCACAGTTGAGAGGTGCAGAACCATGGTAAAACAAATAATTGTGAGCTGCTAATAACATGAGGGACAGATGTGGCATTTGGTAAAACAAATAGTCCAGCTGCACACAGCCTTGCAGAGGACATACATCCAACTAATGAGAGATAGTTTGATTACCTGGAAAAATGCAGACTAAGCCTAGTTCACACTACACGATTTTTTTTTGATCGGGAGTAAATCAGCAGTTGATCTGCGGTCTCATCACTGACATCTGTCAGATATCTAGCATACCAAATATCTGGAGGGGTCGGCCGACTTGACATCCACATCCAGCCAATGAGAGCAGGCAGCTGGCAGAGCAGGCAGCTACTTTTTCACCGCAAAAACATTTTACTTCCCTCCAGCTCTCTGTAGCTAGGACGATCCCTGCTACCTGCGTGTGCTAATCCATTCTTTGACCCAGATTCTTTGTCTTTATAATTGCTGGCTTTATAATAACAAACAATTTGTTGAAGACAAGCAGACCACAGGACATGGATCACTGGAACCATGTCCTGTGGTCTGATGAGACCAAGATAAACTTATTTGGTTCAGATTGTGTCAAGCGTGTGGTGGCAACCAGGTGAGGAGTACAAAGACAAGTGTGTCTTGCCTACAGTCAAGCATGGTGGCGGGAGTGTCATGGTCTGGGGCTGCATGAGTGCTGCCGGCACTGGGGAGCTACAGTTCATTGAGGGAACCATGAATGCCAACATGTACTGTGATATACTGAAGCAGAGCATGATCCTCTCCCTTCAGAGACTGGGCTGCAGGGCAGTATTCCAACATGATAACTACCCTAAACACACCTCCAAGATGACCACTGCCTTGCTAAAGAAGCTGAGGGTAAAAGTGATGGACTGGCCAAGAATGTCTCCACACCTAAACCCTATTGAGCATCTGTGGGGCATCCTCAAACGGAAGCTGGTGGAGTACAAGGTCTCTAACAACCACCAGCTACGTGACGTCGTCATTGAGGAGTGGAGGAGGACTCCAGTGGCAACCTGTGAGGCTCTGGTGAACTCCATGCCCAAGAGGGTTAAGGCAGTGCTGGAAAACAATGGTGGCCACACAAAACATTTTCACTTAGGGATGTACTCACTTTTGTTGCCAGCGGTTTAGACATTAATGCCTGTGTGATGTGTTATTTTGAGGGGACAGCAAATTTACACTGTTATAAAAGCTGTACACTCACTACTTTACATTGTAGCAAAGTGTAATTTCTTCAGTGTGGTCACATGAAAAGTTATAATCAAATATTTACAAAAATGTGAGGGGTGTACTCATTTTTGTGAGATACTGTATATGCATGCATTACTGCCAGTAGGTGCACATTTAATACTTTGAGTTATTCTTTCCATATCACTGAAGCTGATTCGTAACATTTTTATGAGTTTTAAAAACATTTTTTTTAGCTGTCTTAGTCAGAACACTGTATATACTACATCTCCTTTTGCATTTTCTGTACAGAAAAACATCACTGCACCAAACGCCTCTTCTAAGCACCTCTTTCACACCAAACCGAATAATCAAACAGAAAACAGCATTTAATTCAGCATTAATGACACACTGGCACTGAAAAGGGCCCACCTGTAAATGATGCATGCGCTGTTTCGACAAGTGTCACAATTTGCTGTGTCTTGTCCTGTTCGGTAGGAGAGCCTGTGAACAGAGAGATGAAAAGATATATGTGATCTCCAGTGGCACGATTTAGCTTCATATTTCAACACCTGTGGGCATCAGCGATCAGCCAGATTTGTTCAGCTTGGTTTTCACCCAGTGTTATTTATTCCTACCAGTTGAAAATGCAGCCGGGGCTCTGTTCCTGCAGTTCTCTCCGATTTGGTTAATAAAGTATGTAGACTCGCTGATTTTACACAATAGGATTACCTCACTTTGCCATGACATAGTTTTGCGTGATCTGTGTCTCCATTCTATAGGCAACAGAAGGTAAGTTAATGCTGTATGAACTGCATGCAATGACAGGCTACAGTTTTGTTTGGGGATCATGGGAGGGGCTGTATTAGAGCTGCACGTGTAATTTCTTGCTGTCACGGTAGCCCTTCACCCTGTTTGATGACATGTGGAGGTGTTGGACCTCAACTGTTCCCCCGTGACATGAGAGGTGACCTCTTTGGGAGAAACGAAACAGCCTGTGTGGATCGAAAATGCTGATGGGAGCTCAAGGTCAGCAAGTTCATCCATCCTGCCCTGTTCTCAAATTAAGTCTCTTTGAACAGCTGTGAGCAAGGACAGTAACTCACTGCACAGACAAGGCCCACACCAGTGCTGTGCTGCTGCCTGGCTTTTCATGTACATCCTTGTAATTTTAAAGAGCCTCGCTCTAATAATCAAAGCGCATTAACCTAAATATATAATCACTGCTTGTACTCAGCACAAAAAAACACTTCTTATTCAGGGTAAAATACTCCTGACCCAAAATAGTGTCATTGTATTAAGGCACAGAATGTCACAGAGAATTATTCCATAGATGCTTCATAAGGGGAAAAAATAGCTGCACCTCAGAAAGTTGTTCTCTAAGCTAACTGTTTGTTGGCACAGATTCGCTGCTGTGTTGTTTGCCCACGTCAGCTGTCCAGGGATATGTCTTACCCTCGTCATTCCAGTTTAACTATCCACACCCCCTGCCTACATGCCTGCTGCTCTGCCTGTCTAAGCACTGCGTATTAGTTTGTGTTTTACTGATAACCTGTGAACCAAAGCTAAAGACAGACCAGGCCACACTTTTTCACATGGCATTCAATGCTTTGTATATAGGGTAAATATTGTATATGTTATATACATGTTTTGTATATACAGTAGTGTACAGACACAGGAGAGCTCTGCAAACATTATTTTGCATGTAACATTGACTATATAATGCAGTACAATGAACAGCATGGGTAGAGACCTTAATATTTGTATATAATTGTGAAATTGGGTTGACATGTATCACGCAATTGTCCGTTGTTATATGAGATCATGCAAAAGACTAATGTTCTCTGTCTTATCACGTGCATCAAATAGTATAAGTTATATACTGCATTCAAGCTGGTCAGGGTTTTAAGATAAATTATCCTGTGAATGAGTAAGAAACTAGAATAGCTGTGCAATTTTAATTTGCTACAGGTATGTGATTCATCAAGCATTATCAAGTGTCACTGACACTTTTGCTTATGTTTGGAAAACCCTTAAGAGATGTGAAACAGACAAAACAAGCTTTGTTTTTCAGTTCCATTTTGCAGGATGTCATTAATAAGTATCAAACAGTTTGTCTTTGTCAAGCTTAAGTGGATGTGAAACAGATGAACAGCACAAGCATTCTTTTGACTTCTTGGTGGACTTTTTCAGGAAATATTCTTTGTGTTTGTAATCAGCTCATGGGACAGATGAGGGACAGCAACAAAATTACCCACAAATGGAGAAGCATGATTTTTTTCAATGATCTTATTTCCAATGTAAATAGTGACATGGGGATAATCCCTAATGAAATGCCTTCTTACATACATTGTCCCTGTACCCTTGCTGGACCAAAAAATTACTTTATCATTTTCTCACTGCATGGGTGCAAAAAGTGGTTAAAATCACTGGACATTGTGTATTTTTTTTTTTTTTTTTTACATGTGAGAACAAGGAGGCTTTTAGATGCTTTTTGGTACATCTCAAAGTATAGCTTTAAAGAAGGCTTTCTTGACTGTCCAGGCCTGCAAAAAAGGAAAGAGTATTTTGGAATGTACTATGGAAGGCAGGCTTTGAGTCCTGTTACTGCACCTCTCTAATAATGCTGATGGAACACAACACAGTAAAAGCACTATAGCAGGCACAGTTTTGTGGAGATGAAAGGCAAATTGTTATGAGGCTGCACTAATTGGGCCTTTAAAACCAAGTTTCACAGAGCCACACTAGGGTGCCTTGTTCTCCACTGCATATGGCTAAGACTTAAATACAATTTGCTTTGTGTTTCTATGGGATTTAGAGATGGAGTACATTGATTCTTACAATTGTACTGGTGTAACTACATATGGACATAGCTTTAGGACTTTCTGCATATTCTCCTTTATATGTACATTTCTAATGAAATATGACACATTTTTCTTGTATTAAACCTACACAGAGATGAACAGGCATGGTAATGTATTTGAAATGTGCCATTTGACCTTGAGGGTTGATTATCTACTACAGTTTTTCTTTTCAAACTACAAAGTTTCTTTTCTTCTCTTTACAAACAGCAGACTTTCTTTTCATTATAAAACCTTGTGTTGTATAATGATAAACTACCTTGTTACATTGATATAATACCGCAAATACAATTTTAAGTCATGCTAGAGGCATTTATTGGTGATCCTCTGACATTTACTCTTGCTCCACCAGCAGCAAAGTTTTCTCTATTCAGTGAAATATTTCAACATCTACTTGATGAATTTGGCTCCACATTTTGTACAGCTATTCATTGTTTCCAGAGGACAAAGCCTAATGATTTTCATCAAGTGCAATCAAGCAGTCATTTTGTCCAATACTTTACATTTACATCCAAATACTTGACTCAACTTGAACATTCCCATTAGCCTCAGCTGTACTTTGATTTTGGTGCTAATTAGCAAATGTTAAGGTGCTAACTTGCTACTCTAAAAATGGTAAACATGATCCCTGCTAAACATCAACATACTAGCATTGCCATTGTGTGCATGCTAGCTGATGTTAGCATTTAGCTCAAAGCACCACTGTGCCTAAGTACAGCCTCACAGAGTTGTTAGCCTGGATGTACTCTTCGTACGCTATAGTTAAAGGATACCTCCTTTCTTATGCAACTTGGGTCTTATTTTTGTCACTGACTTCCTGGTTCAAAGTTTTCCTTTGGTACTTGCAGTTACAGTTTTCCTATGAGATAAAGGATTAATGTTACATTTCCTGTTCTGTCTCTTTTGGTTTTAACTTCAAATACAGAAGTTAAAATAATCTGACTGAACTGTTGGCTTGTTTACAACAAGTCGACTGTCTACTTGTTGGCATCAAACTGCGTTTTACTGATGTTGCTGTGCTCCCAGACCTCAACAATTACCTTGACAATGTTATCATAACCAATAGAAATGATGGCCAAAGCTACAGAAATAAGACTCAAGTTGTAATAAACTACAGTTTTACCTTTATCACAGATTTAGCTCACTCTACTCACCCCTCTCTCTGTGCTTCACCTTTCTCCAACTCCTGAATAACTCCAAGCAGGACCTTGATGGTCTCCTGGCTTGAGCTGATGAGACTCTCCATGGCCTGCAGCTGTGCTTTGATATCCTTGTCTCCAGATAAGGGCATTATCTGCTGGCTGCTCCCCATGCCTGGGGCTCTTTTGTCTCCTGGAGGAAAGCCCTCATCCCCCCCAACTGTTTGCTGGAGTTTAGAGGAGGCTGACATATGCCTTGTCCGACACTGCCCTTGTGACTGCACAGAACATTTGGCGCTATGGGGAAGTGTCTGTGACTGCTGTTCGTTTAGCTGTGTACCCTTTTTCCGTTTGCAGCTCACAGACGGGCTTCCTAAAGACTCCACCTGTGTCAGCGAGTTCCAAGCAACAGGGCCAGTGCCCTTTGACTTGTCCTGTGAAAACTCAGAGTTAGCCAGCTGGCGCTTTGAGGAAGTGCCAGCTTCCATGTCTTCTTTGGGTAATCCTTTGTGTTTGGTACTTGTCCCACAAACCTGGTACTCTGTTTCTCTGTTGAAAGGAGAGCTACGTGGATGGCACTCTTCCGAGAAATGTGAAGAGTCTGGACAAGAGGGTCCATCCACACAGTTAGCACTAGAAAGCAAATCCTCTGTTTCACTGCTGTCATCAGTGTGGTGAAGCAACGCTTTTGTCTGCCCCACGATCTTACCCTTGTACTTAGAGGACTCCCCAGTGGTTTGTCCATCCTCTCCTCCAGCCTTTATATCACTCAAAAAACCATTGTTTTGCCCTCTGTAATCTTCCACCAAAGCAGTGTGTTTAAACGTATGTCCTTTTTTCCTCTCAAAAGGAAAAGTCTTGTATCGCTTAGTGAGGTCCGGCGACGTCTGGACACCAGTACTCTTGGTCACGTTTGGAATAGAGCGTCTGGCAGGCATGGTCATGTACTTTCTGTGTGTCACTTTACAGGAAATGGATCTGGAGCGCTTACCCCGATGCTCATTCTGAGCATCACAGATATCCTTAAAACGCACTTGTAAGGCCTTGTTTCTCTTCTTGACTTGCTGCTTGCCTGATTCTGGTCCAGACTGCGCATCGAGGCTGTGTGATGGGCATGTCTCTGAATCTGATTCATCTGAATTTGAGACAACAACGCATTTGGTGTCCTCTTTGCTCACCATATTTCCTGTAAATGTAAAAGAGAAAGAAATCAGAGTCTGTGTGAAACTTTGTTGTCTGGGAGGGAACTGATGATCTATGTAGTATTCAGTATACTATAGCAGACTTCCTGATTCTTTTCCTTATGCGACTATAACTTTGCATTCTAGTAACACATTATAACCTATGTTAAAGGCACAATCTATGATCCAGAATCCAAGATCCAAAATTGTGATCCAAAAGTGCAGTGTTTATCAATACACATGGTGAAATGGGCAATAAGTAAAACACCAAAAACCACCATATGAAAAAGATAATCATATTTAATTTGCAAGTCAAACTCTCCAGTAATGTATGTGAAAACACTTGCATCTAGTCACACAAATTATTGATGTGCCAGAAGTTTTCCCTATTTCAAATGTCTCTTTTAGTAATAATCCTCTGTGTATCATAGAAACACAGAACTCAGAATAATTTAACAATTCTGTAAGTTTATGTATATGTTATGTTTAATTATTGCAACTAAAAAACATCTGTCAGTTTGGCGTGGAAGACGACTCTTAATACTACAATATCCATGAGCCTTGCTTGGAGAAGAAGCCAGTCAGAGTGGCTAATGAGAGCAGTGAATTCAAAACGCTTTGTTGTTGCAGTTTTAAACAAACACAGCTAAACCTGACTTCATTTAAGATTCAAAATGATCTTTAGCTTCCACCTTCTGTTAGCCGTAACAGAATGTTAAGCTCTTTAATTGGATGTTTCTTGCGTAAATGCACCATGGAGTCGTAGTTGTTTTTAGGTACACAAGCTTGTACTGTTTTTTCTAAGAACAATATTTACTAACACAGTCCATCCAAACGGTAAATGTGCTCCAGCTGTGAGTCCCCTAACAATATCTATGAAAAAAATTAATGGAACCTTCTCACTTCAAGAACCAGTAATTACTAGTTATGTACAGTATTTTTTCATAAACGCAAACCTTTCTGCCAAAATTCTGATCATTTGCTTCAGGACACCTATTTGGAATAGTAACTGTTTTGTTGTGGCTGCTTTCACCATTCAGAATCTCTGGTCATTGACTGTTATTTCAGCTGTCGGCCTCAAATACACACCTCAAGCTAGAAGAGAACAATTTTGCTGTGAACTTGTGGTGTTATCACTGTCAAGATGCCAGATCACTGCTTTACCTTATCAAGCTAAGTATTTGCTAGTTATGCTAACAAGCACAGTATATAATGTGAATTTGACAATATCATTAGACAATAGGATTGCCAAGGCTGCTGGCTGTATATGTGCTTGGAAATAGTAACTATGAGTAGATGACCTTATTTTTCTTTTGGCGTTTTACAAATGCATTATGACACATTTATGTTATTGATTTATGCAATGGTGAAATAGCAATACTTATGTTTCAGGATTTTAAGTGTTCTGGGTTCAACTGATTTGGCTTTCTCCCGTGGCTGATGTCATTTTTGGGGGTTTCTATTGGATCACTGCAAACTCCAGTCTTTTTTAGAGGGCAGTGTACATCAGCTTTAGTGATTTAAACATGACTGCTGTCTTGCCCATTTACTTGGCTTCAGGGGACATTCTCTTTTGTCGCACATAGGAGAGTCCCATTTACATTTTCCACACAGAGCATATTCGGCTATACATTAGGGGAACATTCCAACTGAAACAAATGGGGTTATGTGACAGCTCACTTTACTGTTCTTCATACCATAATTACATCAAAACTGCTGAGCTCCTGTTCTTTGCTCTGCACTGCTGCACTCATTGCCAACCTTAAGCTTACTGTATATCCACCCACTTATGGTCATCTCCTTATCAATGCTACATAACATTTCATAAGATATATTTTTGTAAGCTTCTGTGTTAAGAGTACTTGTATTTTCCCATGATCATTGGAGGTGTCTTGTGAAGGAATGGCCGTGGGGCAGTTGGTGCTTTGGCCACGAGTAGAAGGTGTTTACTAAATCATATATTCCCCTTGTAGTCTGAGGTCCTGGAAGAGGAATTGACCACACAACAGCTGCGCCCCACACATACTAGACTCTACATAATAGCTAGTGTTGGGCTCCTCCACCTGTATCCACCTGTAAGCTCAAGTCCCTAGGGGGGAATTTATTATCATCGCTCCCCATTCTCTCCTGTGCTGAACGGAGGGACGAGGTCAGAGGCTAGACACCAAATATAAACTCTGCAAATGTTCTGTGAACACATCATAAATCTGTTCCACATGAGTTGGCTGACTGATCTGAAATTAAACTTTAAATGTTTACAGATTACCGCTTATTACAACTTTATATTAAGAGCTGCATACAGTGAATAACAAACAGTTCTTGAAGACATTTGCTACTCAACCATAAGTAATTTAATATGTTTACGAAGGGCTTGAAATCACTTGAAGATATTTGTAAAAGAGAAACAGTTTTCACTTTTGGAGTAGGAGTCTCCAAAAAAGTGTTAAGGATATTTTCTAACAACTGTTTAGGAATATGGTTTATAATACAGGTTTATGCATACCTGCTTTGAAGCATTAAAACCGTAGTTGTTTATGATTAGTATATCATTTATAGAGCTTCTATAAAATTCCCATTTGTTGTGTATGTAAATGTAACACTATGATGAGCAAGAATTTAACTAGAAATGTTCTTAATTTTTAAAAAGATGTGTCTCATATAACCACTGTCATATTTATGATGCCCCAATCTGCAACATACATTTATCATATAATTAGTAACATATTTTTTAATGTTAATTCATCATTACCAAATAGTTTGAAGCCCTTTAATGCCATTATTAGTCTTTTCTTATAAGCATAGCTTGATTTATATTGATTATTGAACTTATATGACCACACAAAGGAGTTAAAAATGACTTTCATAATACAAAAAAGCCTATTTGTTTATAGTCAGTCCCCATGCAGAGTTTCAAATGAAGGTCCGTATGATCAAATGAGAAATATTGCATTTTCTGTCTCATCTGTGATGAAAGACATTTCATAGCTAGAGCATGAAGTATATCAAGCAGCACAAGGAAATGAGTTGATGTTTGATATGGTTGAAAGGAAACATCAGAAAGAGCTGGTTAATCATTTTCATATGACAAGACACCATCGATAAATAAACTCCAATGAATCATTTATTACCACTCAAGAGCAAGCTATTCATGGTGTCGCAGCTTCCCTGAAAGTAATCATGTTTTATCATTCTGAGACATTGTAAATCCATCAATGCGATTGTTCTGGTGGGGAAGTTTACACTGAAGAGATGTTTCCTTACTGTCAGTTTCACTACTCCCATGGAATTTGTAAAAGGAAAAGCAGCGGTAGATTAGATGAATGTTTATTCCTGATCTGCAGTTGATCTACATCTGCAGTGCATGTTCCAGTGACGTAATGACTAAAGGTTTAAAAAGTACTTTTTTACTTCTTACAAAAGAAGAAGTGAGAGTGTGATGTGAAAAGAATACACACTTTTTAATGATGGCAAAACAGTCTTTGTTAAATGTGACCGCATAGAACAAAGACTGAAAAATCAGACAAGGGCTGATAATAAAAAGCATGAGGTTGTATTTCTTGGCACTCTTGCCATGTGTTTCACCTTGCAGACTGTCCACTAAAACCTAACCCTCAGCTCAGACTGTTGATGAAATGGAATATATTTAGAGGTAACTGTGTTTCATCTTGCTTCCTATTAATACTGGGGAAAAAACTGCATGCCAACAGCTTCTAGTGTCACTTCAGTCACTGCAATGCATTCAGTGCCAGATGAGGGTGGAAAAAAACAAGCAACTAGCTCAATCTCATTATACACAAACAATATGGTATGCTGTGTCATGAATTTACACACGGTTGTTTTGGAATTTGGAGCAGCTGAATTTTATTGGGGGTGGTATTTGTTCTGAAACATAGCTTAGTATGCGCTTTGACTTTAGTGTAAGTTGTTTGTCAGATGCGGCTCCACGGTTAAAAGAATTTGTTTGAGGCTGATTCACATGGGATCATACTATTTCACACTCAGAAACACCAATCTCACACCACTGAAAAGGTAATCACATCTGCAGGAAGTCTCCCCTAAGCGCATACAATTTCTTATGCAGTCATGTAAGGCATGTCAAGCAGCTAAATGGTAAATTTACACAAAGGGAATCAAGAAAAGCTCTTCAATGAAGTATTATTGTTGGAAGTCAGATACACAGAGAGTCAGAGCGAGACTTATATCACTCATGGATTTATTCAGACAGTTGAGCGAGAATCTGCTTTGCCTCGTCGTCTTCTTTCTCCTCCTCCTCTTCTCAAAGCAAGCTGTATCTCTGCTAATGACCTGAGGTCCTTCCCTGATTTGGCCTCAGCTATCCAAAGGATTATGAATAATGCATTGACTCTAAAATTGCAAAAGTAATCCTCTGAAATCTCCTTATGTACCCTGGCAGACCACGTTGTCAGTTGCAATTGCCCTTCAGTTCTTCACGCTAAAATGCTGCATGGATGAGGGGAAGAAACCCACCTTTAGCTACAGTATCATGATTGATTTATTATGACCACAATGTTGTAGAAACATGGCTGTTTGTTAAGAATGTTAATTGGGGACTGGATCCATTTTCCATGCAATAGCAGGTCTACGACATTGCTGACTCATGATTTATGCCCGATCGCAAAGCAGAGAGAAAGAGATGGCTTTGCTTAGATCGCCTTACATCCTAGTCAGTCTGCATCAACGCAATAATTACTGAAGTGCATCTGTAGGATATTTACATTCGATAACACTGTCTAGCCACTCTCATTAATAGTTAAGTAATGTTGTTATAGTGGCCTCCCACTCCTCAAACATGGTAACCACAACTGCACCATCAATACAAACACGCATCTTAAACACAGGATGTTCTTTAATGGTTTACTTAAATGTGCTAAAACTAGGGTGCATTACAAGGTCAGTGCTTCGCTCTTCATTATAACACAGATTGACGCTGTGCTCATCAACCCCCCATGCATTCTAATGTATGCGTTGTTACAGTGCAATGTATCCATTTTGTATTCTCATTATTTGCAAGTGACATTGCACCAACTATGCCTTCATAAGGACAATGCAAAGGACAAGATATCACATTGCATTTGTACAGTATAGGTTCGGTCTCTACACACTCCCCGTTGCAGTAATCTTTTTCACAATAAAACGTCCAGCTCTTCTTCCTGCTACAATGTAAACCCCTTTAGTCCAAGATTTTTATAAACAATCCCAGCCTGTTTTCAGAGCTTCACAGTCACACACACACACACACACACACACACACACACACACACACACACACACACACACACACACACACACACAAACACACACACACACCATCTTATTCCAGCTGTCATCCAGAGCTATCTGTATCTATCCGGGCTGCCGGCTACACCTGTGAAAGTTTGCTTTATGACATTGGCTTAAAAGATTTATCATTGAGCAGCACTTTCTGTTCCGGTAATAGTTGGAGGTTTTAAAAAGCTCCCATCCCTGGATCTCCTACATGAGAGCACTGGCTGTGAAATGGATCCTTGGGAAGAGTAAGTTTGGAGAGGCTGATATGCAGAAGGGCATTTTATTATTTTTTTTGTGATCACAGGCTCTCCGGCTAGTGTGGGTCTCTTTTTGTATAAAATAATGGAGAAGATACTGCTTTTAACACTTTAGAGCTTACTTAGTGCATACAGAGTGCTATGGTGCATCACCCTAATGAATCCATTGATTAGTAAGGGGAAGGGCTATGGGCATACATGTGTACTCAGGTCAAACTGATGATTAACTCAGGTGTAATGTATGAGATGATTTATAAGTGAAAAAGATGCTGAGATAGACAAGCCAGTGTGTTTGGCACTGTACCCATCTGTGTTTCCTGTAAATTCAGGTAGTCAAGGAATGACATGTAGAAAATAGAGGTTCTGGGGAGGAGGGGGCGACTGAGAGCAAATATAAGTGCAGCTGTGTATGTGATGCAGTACCCCAAACCTTCTCAAATCACACATGTCATTAGTCATGATAAGGATGAATCCATCTTTCATCAAATTCAGCCTTGGGGAGCACATCACTTATCGCATATGAATTTGTCATGCAGTCTATGCCACTTAATACGATAGGTGTGTTCCAATAAATAATCATCATTCCGACAGTCTATTGCAGTACCATATACAATAGTCTATTAGTGAGTGCTCATCAATATTCTTCACTGTTTAGCCCAGACAATTCACAAGTACAGCAATCTTGATAATCAGCCTATGCCTCATCAGATATATACTGCACGTCTGTCACAGGCTGCAAAGACACGCATTATTATAAGTACATAAATCAAAGTCAAATAACATCTCTATTCATCTCCATTTGCATTTGTGAAGAAAAACCTTTGACGTGTTCTCCAGATTAGTCATTAAACCTTTCAGTGCTTGGATGCAGAAATGCCCCCTCCCTAATTTATCCATATCTAATGCATGCAACATACACTAACATCACTAACCAAAGACTTTCAACAGGATTTTATCATAATTCATGAATACTTCTGATATCCACCTTGATTCAATTAAGATTTTAAAAGGCAGACCAGATAAATCCCACACTCTTTTTTGCAATACCTGTGAATATGTGTGCAACTCCAAAAGAGGAAGCATAACTCTTACCTTGAGAAACAGATCAGAGGTGCAAAGGACAAGAAAGCACAGATCCACAGTAGAGCCAGTTTTCATCCATGTATTCATTAGGTGCCGGGGTACCGTCCAGCCACTGGAGCAGCTCTCACTGGCTGCGGGAGGACAGAGAGAGAGGCAGCCGGTGCAGTGACAGCTGGAGTTGTTGTGGCACATCCAGCAAAGATTCAGGTTATCAGGATGGGAGAGGAAAAAAAGCAGAAAGACATTGCCTCAAAACCTCATCGGGTCCTCACTGATATCCCTCCCCTGCCTTTTACTCTGCGCTCTCCCCCTCTTCTCCCTTATACACCTCATTCAAGCATCACTGACACTCATTCGCTCTTGTCCCTGCACTCACCGGGAACAGGCACTCACACATGCAGCGGAGATCTCCATCTCGCGGTGCTGCTGCTGTTGCTGCAATCCCTGTGCATTCGTGATTGAGTGTATGTGTGTATGTGTGTATAAGAAAGGCAGGGAGAGGGTGGGCTGGTGGGTGGATGGGTGGGTGGATATGGCAAAGGGAGGAAGAAGGAGGAGGAGGAGAAGGAGGAGGAGTGAGGGGTAGTACGCAAGCTGCTGGGGAAAGTCCAGAGTTGCTGAGCTGCATCACTGGCGAAGACCCCCTTAACTTGTCCTCCACAGGCTGGCTCCGTTGACACTGAGCTGTTATATAATCTGAAGGGCTTTGGGAGACAGCAGGGAGGGGGAGCTGTGAAAAAAGAATGCATTGTGCGTTTAATTGGATGTCTCCGGGACCCCGTTACTTTCATACATCTTATACAATGGGGGATGAATTGAGCAAACGAAAAGAAGTGACTCTGCAGCTGCATAAAAAGGGTAACAGAGGAGGCAAAGAGCCAACAGGGCAGCAGTGTTAATGAGAATGTGAGACGAGAGAGAAAATAAAATGACGATAGGGAGTAATAGAGACAGTGAAACAGAGAGAGAGGCACAGAGAGGAATGTACTTCACTGGAAAACAGGGAATACTGATTTTTTTCGACGTCTTAAATTTCTCAGATTTCTCTAAATTGCTTAGAAGTTCATGGCTTAATGATTTATAAAGTCCTGTTTAGGGAATGGACATAATAATATGAATGACTGAACTGTCTAAAGCAATCGAAGGTCTGCAATAAATACGACCTTTCTTAAGGAGGGGTCGGGGGTTACATCAGAGCCATACAAAATAATCAATAGAAACAACATGCAAACTTGACATACAAGAGCGAAGACCTGAAACAAGTCCTAAAGATGATTGTTTGAATATATCTAGTGGGAATAATATGTTTGTTGGAATACGATATCACATACAATATTTGTTTGCTTTTTTAGAAACTGTGTGTGTAAAATTAAGCCACCTAGTGGGACACTGTGGGAAACAGCAATGCGTGCCCACCCCACCTCAAAGATCCCACCCTAGCAACACTGAGAATGAATGAGCTAAAAGCTGCACATAGACATGTTCCATTTTTTGTTGTGATTGTTTTTTCAGCAAAAACCTATGCCCCTTGGAATAATTTGACAGATGCCAACATTACATACAATTTTTACACAATGGGCCTTTAAACTAAGTTTATTTGCAGTGTAACATATTATATTTACTCTTAAAGCTGATTGTTTCTGAAATTTGTGTTAAGAAAAATATGTGCAAATTAAAGTTTTGCTAAAAGTCAGTATTGAAAAGCTTTAGCAGTAAAAAAGCAATTAGCAAACCAAAGAGACACAGATATTCTCAGGAGTTGGCTGACTAAACAAAGAATCTAAACTCTAAGTAAACTAAAGTTGCCCCATAGTTGCCAAGTCTCTACCATAAATATATTTTTGTCAACAGGTGGTATATTATACCTTATATGCATATTGCGGAATTACTGTGTGTATACTGTGTGAGTGTCTATGTATTTAAGTACTTGCGCAACAAATTGAAAAGGTAAAGAAGTAACTCTAGGAGGGCTCAGGGTCGGTCAGTAAATCCAGTGAACTAATACCAAGTCATACCAAGTTTCATTGTTTGGCACTTTGCTTAGTAAGATTGCCCCAGAAACTGAGGGATTGTTATAAACTAAAATCTTGCCAATGCACCTTTCACAGTAATAGTAAATTCAAAAGCAAATTCTAGTTTAGTCATTTATTGCAGAAAGAAAATTATAGAGCTCTGAAACCTTGAGAGGCGTCAATGTTTTAAAGGACAGCTTGTATAATTAATCAACTATATTTAATTTAATTTAATTAACTTTGATTACTTTGTAGTTATAGGGTGAAGTTAGGACAGAGATGTCATAAGACGACCCACAGGACCAAAGCTTTACCATTCTTTGCCTATGTAAGCAACCTAAAGTTGAATAGGAGAAATGCTCTTTCAAATTAGTTTTTTCTTCCAAAACGGTGGGTGAGGGCGAGTGATAGCAAGAGCAGTGATCTGCTGACTGCTGTCTTATTGATTTAATTGTCTGTTTGCCTCTCAGCCCTGCCTGTTCATAGGCCTATGACGAGCTTCTGACTGTGCCCACTGCATGCATGCTGATCCAACCCGCAATGAACCACAGCTCTGCTCCTCCTCAGTCTCAACACTAGCTTAATCTCACTGTGTTTAATGAGTGGAACAACAGAGTTGACAAGTAGGGAAAATCCCCCCTCCACCACTTTCCTCAATCTCTTCTCTACTACGCCGTTTATTGACCTGCCAAAGGCTGTGATGGGAGTGTCCAGATTTATGCAAAAAAAGCCCTCACTGCTCGCCGATGACTGTCAGCTTAAACATTCATTATGGTTGGATCCCTGAGGACAGCTTGAGCCTCTGGGCCACTGTACATGCAGAGACTTTAAAGTAGTCACACTCCATTGAAATTGGGGAAATGTATTTGAATGAAGGCTTGAGAAAGTGAAAATGTGTGAATGGGAAAACAGCAGCTGTTGCATAAAAGATTGACAGAGAATGATGAGGTTCAGACACAAACACTATTCTATTTCTTCTGGTTGATTTCCCAATCTCTACTGAGTTCTCCTAAGTCTCAAAGGTGAGGGAAGTGTGCACTGTCAAATGCTTCTCTCAGATCCACTGCGCATCCCTAGGTAAAAGAGAAATGTTTGCATTAGCATATGAAACAGCCAGAGCAGTAAACATAGATTTTTATCTTTTATCTAAATTATTCATGAGTATTTTCCCACTGTATGCAGCAAACACATGGGGATCGGAACAAGTAAGTTCATTCAATATAACCATAAATAAATAAGCACTTTCTCACTATGAGGGGTTGCTTCACACATCCTGACTGCACCTGCAAAAAAAAAATATTTGGAGTCTATGGAACAAACATTGAACAGCATTGATATGATGATACATAAACTTTATAAGTAACGGAGCACAATGATCACATCTGATAACATCGCATCACATGATATTGCAGTTTTTAGTCATGCTAGTGGCATGGCAAAAGGGATGACAAAGTTGGTCGGTAGGTCAGTCAGTCCAGACTGAAATATCTCAACAACTATTGGATAAAAGATTGAATGGATGGATTGTGAGCCCATTGAGGTCGGGTGCAGAGGCTTTGGTGACCCTCTGACTTTTAGCACGCTGACACGCTAAATGAAGGTTGTAACCACATCCCTGCAAAACATCGGAACTGTTAGCATTGTCATTGTGAGCATGTTAGTCTGCAGATGTTAGCATTTAGCCAAAGCACAGTTGTGCTGAAGAACAGTTTCACAGAGCCACTAGCATGGCTGTAGACACTTAGTCTTGCTTCCAGATGATCATTCACTACTAAGCACTGAATACTCATACAGTCCAGAGTAATCACATTATTTGTGAATTTACAACACGAGCAGTCATGGACCCACACACATAGAGACTTCATCCACCTCCTTCTCCTAAAACATTCACACACACATAGACACACAAGAACTACAAGCCTTGTTAAACACAGATGGTGGTCATTCTCCAAACTGCCATAATGTTAAATGATAGTGTCCTTGTTAAGTAGATAACAGGTCTTAAAACATTGTCTCCTGCTCTATTTAAGGAGTATTTTCACCAAACTGACACTCCAGTTTTATCCCAACAAATATCATTAAAAACACAGCGCCATTAATCACTATTAATGTCTCTGGAAAATTGGCTTAACTATCCGTAAAAACTCCCACAGAGAAGCCAACGCTAATGCTGTTTAACTCATTTTCATTATACAACACAGGCATGTAAACACAAAACAAATAATCAATGTAATAGAGAATTGTTACATAACACATCATTTTCCTGTTGACTGCAGATCATTACTGGGTAACTATTTATTATGGTGTATAAACACAATATACAGTAGTGGTGTTAGTGTGTAGTCTCAGTGTCCCTCTCACCCATTGCAGTGACACCACTCAGTTAGAATATAATCCAATTTATAATCTAATCCATCACATTACAATCAAAACTTATTCTCATTGTGTCTCTAACTCTCTGTCACTGTTTGACTCTTTGCTGTCTATATGCTTTCTCCATCCAGAAATGACAGGTCTCTCCTTGGTGGCCTACTTTTGTTTGAAGAGTTTTCAGTGTAATTGGTTGTCTATTTGCATATGCACTCTGTGCCCAGCCCTCCTGCAACCACATTCAAACAAAGCTAATGTGACGTTGGGGACTCAGAGCAGCATGCTTTCGTTGGATCAACAAACGACAGACAGGGAATGAGGAACCTTTTTTTTCTTTACGTTGTTCTTTTTCAGTTAAGACAAGCTTATTCATATCAGTTACCCTCAGAGAGAGTTTTAATGTTTGCACACCAAAAGCTGATTTGAATATTAGATTATAAGATTGCTGATGCATAGTTTGGGGAGTTTTCAGCAGAAAAATTGACAGGGATATATTTTAGTAACACTTCACAAAGAATCTGTGGGCTTGTTATAGAATGGATTGTTATTTGATTTAGTGTTAATATACATAAACAAGACAAAGAGTCTACAGCCATGCTAGTGGGTCTGTGAGGCTGAAATCTTTGCGCTAAATGTTAACATCAGCATCCTTACAATGATTATGCTAGCATGTTGATGTTTAGAAGGTAAAATGTTTACCAATAGTTTAGCTTGTTAGCATTCTAACATTTGCTAATTAGTGCTAAACAGAAAGTACATTTGAGATTGATGGTAATGTCACTAGTTTTGCAGGTATTTGGTAAAAAACCTAAGTATTGGGACGACCAGAAATTTTGACCTGATGATGACGAATGATGAAAGTTCAGGGGATCAGTGTTTTACAATTAATCATCTGGGGACCATGAATGTTCCACCAAATTATGTGCCATTCTATTGAGGACACGTTGACATTTTTGACTGAATAAGTGAAACGTTTGACCTGATGGTGACTCCCCAAAAGTCATAGGATCACCAATATATCCTCTATAGACCTTGAATATCTGTTGCAAATGATATGGCAGTCCATCTCATAGCTGTCGAGATATTTCGCTCTGAACCACAAATGTCAACCTCATTTTAGCATTAGAGGATGAATATCTGTGCTAAATTCATGACAATCCATGTGGTAGCTGTTGAGACATTTCAGTCTGGTTCAAAGTGATGGACTAACTGACAGATTGACAGACTGACATTGCCATCCCTAGAGCCATGCTGCTAGCATGGTTAAAAATAGTGATTAAAACAGATTTAATTTTTTCATTATTACTGCTGCTTTGATTAAACCTTTAACATTTAATTTCTTAATTGTTACCTTTCTTGTAAACATAATGTACTAGCATTTTCAGTTGATGAGGGTTGTGAGTTTTGTAACCTTCCAGAATATGATTCCCAAAAAAATCTCAGTGAGGCAAACAATTTAAAAACACTTGCTTCCAATCACAATATTGGAGAGAAAAAAGTGAAGAAAAAAACGCCCCCTACCAACAACTGTACCTCCTCTTCCATCATTAAAAAGATAATGTCCCAGATTTTGTTTGCTTCCAGTCTGTGTCAACACCAACTGCAGGCTCTGGTCGACAACACACTTCAAAGTGAGAAATGATCTCTGAGCCCCAGTGATGCTGGATGTGCTTGGTTCCCCTTTCTCTTCACACGCACTTCTTCAAACTGTGAGATGTTTGTTTCTGTAGCAGCCCATATTGTTGTGACTAATCAGATATTTTCAGATATGAATTTGTTTTGCAGTGGTTTTATCTTATCAAATAAAATGATGCCCCTCAAAATAGCACAGGAACAGAACATATTAGTGAAAAGATATTCACTGTGTGCTGCTCTGTGAAAAAGATCAGCTTTGAACAATAGTCAATGAGGTAGATGAAAAATATTTTT